CAGCTTACAAGTGAAAAAAAGGTTAAGAACCTGACACAAGAACTAAGGCTAACATTCTGTTACACTGTATATTGTCTAACAAACTATAGTTCGACTACCGGCTTACACCAGTTTATTTGAGAAGGTTATCAAGCGAACACCTACCTGATGGGACAAGATGCTCACTGCTGATCAATGTTTCGCTTCCATTCAATTTCGATTTGATTATGGATATTTCGGTAACAACACAAATATAGCTAGTTATGAAAGAGATTCTAAGATAACTTGTGCTGTAAAGTGTACAAGGAACCCTCTAGCCTCGTATGACTCTTCCTGCAGCGGTCAGGCTGTATAGACACAACAGCCCCCGGTAGACCAGCACACTCACACAACAATAAAGACTACGACACGCCTGTTGTGAAATTACACCAACTTGCATAGATATAAAAACACAAACACAGACTACGACACCCCTGATGTGCAATAAAACTTGTGTGCAATATGTACATTGGAAATGTATTATGAATGTACTTATACATTGAAATAACTTTATTTTAAATATTATGTGCTGCCGTTTCTAATAGTGTATTATTTTATGTGTCTGTCTTTCCCTTTCCCCTCTGTGGGACACATAAAGTTATTCTGATTCTGATTTTAAACATCTATAGAAATATTAACATCTACATCAAGAATGGACACATGTGCCTCTAGGCTCGGCCCCCTCTCTGTAATGTGAGACGCAGGAACCCGTGTTACCTTCTTGGACATTGTCTCCGAGGTCTTTGAGCAGGTCCTGTCTGGCCTGATTCCTCTGGTGTTTGCGTCCATTGTAGTGCTGAAACGCCATCTGGGGATTGTTGAAGGAGGCGGCACACAGGGTGCAGTACTTGTTGGGGTCCTTCAGATCAACATCCTTCTTCGGTGCAGTGTTGGGGGCCGTTGGGTCTAGAAGATGCTCCGTACCATCCTCTGGGAGCATCCTGCCTACAGCTGTGAAGAGAAATCATCCATTTAATACATATGTGCTGGACTTTCTGAAATGAAAGAATATCACCCCCAAAATATCCATTTGGAAATCAATTACACACCTGTGTTGTGAATTCATGAAGAAACTTTTTTTTTGTACACCAGAGAACAAAACATTTTTTAAATGAAAAAGTCTCTAGAATTGATAATGAAATTTGCAGAATAAGTAAAGTCTCTATTATCCTGTTTTCTGTTGATACTGCACTAAATTAATTCAATTTATGAAGAACTTGTTCTCTTTTTGAACACTCTTCAAGAATTGTAGTTTAAGCAGGTAGAATAATTCATATATAAATGATTATTTTTGTAATGATGACTTTAAACAGAACTTAATCTACTGCTGGTTTGTAAATAATATAGATTACTTATTTACTTTTCCATCACACATCACACACTTGCCTGGGGCCTGAAGACCTTGTTTGCGGAGATTTTTGGCGTGGACTTTTCCATCATAGTGGGATTTTGCCACAACTTGAGAACTAAACACCATGTTGCACAGCTCACAGAACTGGTCCTTATCCATCGTCATGGTACGCTGCAAAACAGGAACAAGACTGAATTATCAAGAGACAAATACGTGTTTCCTGAGGTAGTTTGTAAAAAAAGAATAAAGAAGAAAACAAGATGTCATATGACAATCCTTTAAACCTTGTGTGTACCTCCTATGAAATCATATCCTACAGAGAAGGATAAAGATATGACCCTCAGACTGTAAAGAGTAACATCTCTCAAAGCGTGCTGACCTGGGGTCTTGTGGACTCTTGGATCTTCTCGGTTCTCTTGGCCTGCAGGTACACTCTGAGTTTCTGAGCATGTTTCTTTCCCTGCAGTTGGGGGATAAACGAGAGATATTATTACAAAGGCTCAGACCTTGTCAGCTCATTGAAACGGCACCGCAGTTCCATGAGTAGCGCCTGGAAAGCAGCACACACCTCGTAGTGGGACACTCGCTGAGATTCGTAGAGCAGCGCAGCATCACACACATGGCAGTGGTCGTACGTGAGGAGACTCTTCAGCAGCTCCTCTTCACTCTTGTCTCCTGTGAGGCAGAATACTGTTACAGTTGAGCCGCGGAGAATAACACGAAGGATTATTTTAACATGATTAACAAGCAACAGGCTACTAAATTATCATATCTCATTACATTCATTCATTGTAATCGATATTAGATTGTAAAACAAAACCAAAATAAAATCGGACTGTGTCTCTACGTGAGCTGGTTGTGGTAAATATGGTGATCAACTAGCTTTTGTAGAATTAGAAGCTGCAGAATAAAATGCTAATACGAACTTTTTTCATTATTTGAAAACGTGAAAGGTCACAGAACAAGACAGCAGCATAAACAGCTCTGCATGCAATATATAGTGTAACAACATTACCAGGAAATGTATAAATGATATTTAATTCCACATTTAATTAAGCTGTACCAGCACCATAGGACTGTATTTAAAGTAAGTCGAGTTTATTGTTAAACATTATTTGTATATAAATCTGCTAAAATCATTCTTTTGGATAGGGATAAACGTTGTGCTTCCAATAATACAATTCCTAAATTGTACAAACAAATACTACTTGAATTATTCACTCAACTCTAACCTCCTTCGTAACAGTAAAACCTTTTAGCACTCGTAGCGTGTTGCTACAATGTCAGAAATCGTGGTTTCATGCTTGACTGAAATATTTCTCGCATTTCTGCATTCTTTGTATGCAGAAATATCACCCAGTTTGTCCTTATAGCATCAATAATGTACATTGTGCTCTGCATATTTTTTTACTTCAAAAACATTTTTAACCAACAAAGTAGCAAAACTGTGAAGAAACTGAGAGTTTCAACTTTAAGGATTAAACAAAAATGTCATCAATGCATAGGAACTGAGATGTTACTGTGATTTGTTTGCTATCCTTGCTCTAAAAATATTCATAAACAATAACATGGTTTGTTGTGTGGTTTGACAAGGTGTGTTGCATTGAGCTAATCAAAGAACATGATGGTGAGGAGTGGAACTGTATGAATACAACTAAAATGACATTAATTACCGAATTGCACAACAATTACCTTACCATATTAATTAGGCTAATACAAAAAATAGTAAGACAGTTAGTGTCTCAAATTGTTTTATATACACAAAAGAACTCCAAAATAAATATTTATATTTCTGAGGATCTATTAACACTATTGACCAAATATGTTAAACTATTAAAACAACAATTAATTAGCACTTTGATTTATACTGCTGACATATTCATATCTCCTGATTTTTTTTCTACTCACATGCTTGTCTTGAAAGCATCAACTATTCTGCTGGTTTTAGAGATCAGCAGAATGACAGCTGATCAGCTGATGGGGGCTAAGTTCCTTCAAAATCATTACCAAGAAAGATTAAAAGACTGTAGATTCCGCAACAAGCTAAAGCTTTTCAATCCATTATTTTGATATGTAGACATGCACTGACAGGATTACTTTTTTAACAATACAATGACAATAAAGAAATGTAATTTATTTGACTGATTCAAGTCGGATAAGCCATTACCAACTGTTGCCAGGGAAACCTAATTTAACGTCAACACTGAATGGAATTAACATTTGGTGGCCTATGCTAGCTGCCAAAAAAGCTAACCTTAACCCGTGAATGACATATGACTAAGGTTTACAGGGAGTTTGGTTTTGGGCGTATGCTGACACTAGCTTGCAAGACAAGTGACGTTAGCAACTGGCCAACCACTCCCGGACCTCTGGAAATAAATAACGTTAATCTTTTAACTTTCTATTGTTTCACTTTTAGAGTTGTCCAGCGTTACAAAGGGCTTTTTATTATTATTATTTGACGAGTCATATACGACCGGACCGGTTTCAGAAGCTCTACTGCTAACGTTTGAGCTAACGTTACACAGTTGACGTTAGCGCATTTAGCTAAGCAGTTAGCTCACTCTACTGTTGAGCCTGCTAGCCAGTTAGCTAAAGAAGCTAAATGACACCGTATGGCTTAATGTTCACGTTGTAGATAAAACTCACCTTCAACCTGGGCTCTATCTGTTTGAGTGTTTATTACTTTGTCAGCACCTGTGGCAGAAGCCGCGTTAGGGGTACTAGTTGTGTTATTTTGAGCCTCTGACTCCGCAAGCAGCGGAGTACAGACACTTCTGTCGTCCATGTTTTGGCTAAGCTGCTTGGTGCGGGCGCAGTGACGTCACGGTATTATGGAGCCCATCCCTTGTTTACAGAAATTCACTTTACAGTATCTGTATGTTTATACAAGACTGTACATTCTATATACATTGTGCTTTAACACATTATCACTGAATTAAAATACAATAATAAGCCAAAAATAATATGTAAATCTTATACTTGCAGTTAACACATTTCCTACACATCAGAACGATTCGCAAGAACCTATTTACCTATGTTTTCTATTAGATTAAACTCGTAGGCCAATTATCGGTAGACATTACGATTGTGAGACAAAAAAAAGCGATTTGAAATTGTTTATTTTCAGCTCCTAATTTTTTTTCTTTCTATTTTTTTAATGGTATTGTTGATTTTTGTTGCTTACTTCCCTTATTTATACATAGAGAATTTACATTGACTGATGATTCAACGGACAATTCTCAGAAAAAGGTCAATTTAAAGTGTATTTATTAATAAGAAATTAAAATTAACCACACTTGATTTAATGTATCGGATACACATGACTGAGATAAACTATGAACAATTATCAAAATATATTTGATACATGAGAAAAATAAATACATTATTTAAAAAAAATATCTACAGTAAAGATGTAAATAAAACAATAATATCCTTGGATTGCGGTCAATATGCCTTCCGTGCATTCTTGCTCAGTGTACCAGCAAACCAAGACACTGAGCCAGCATGCAATACCAAGAACCTTAAACCAAAAAATCAAAATTGAACACAGTCTTCATGGATTTTAAAATTGTTTTGCTACTTCTTCCCCAACCTAAGTTCCATTTACTATTCACAAAAAAAGGTCATATCAAAATAAATACTTTATTTTAGGACATTACAATTTCAACGTTCGTCACAGGCGATATGTAATGTTGGAAAATAACTTAAATACGAGATTAGAGGATCAACATGAAACATTTTTCACGTCAAGACAAAGACGGCGAAGAAGGATAAGGTCATTACAGGTAGAAAAGCAAGAGAGTGGAAGTCTGTCACTTTCTCCTCTGGAGCTCCCTTGCTAAGGCATCCAACTGTGGAGAGAAATACAGCATGACATGAGAGTCAGACACACTTAATGATACAGCCATAGTATACTCTTTGTTGTTATGTATACATACATGTAGCTAGCTAGCTGTGTGTAGCTATTTAAACATTATTGTAACAGGGGGAATCTGTGTATATGTGAAGACCCATTCTTACAAGACGAATGAATTCAAATAAAAGTATGTTTTATACAACCTGAATAAGGAACTGTTTACTTACAATAATGTTTCTCAGTATGCTTCTCCTCTGGGGTCTCAAGTAGCTGCATTCTCCGGCCTCGCACAGCTTAATCTCCTCTGAAATCTGCACATGAAAGAAGAGTAAAGAGGTAAAGGTTATTTTTATTCTCAACAGGAAATGCTGGGTAAATGATAAAACTAACTCTGATCCTGACCTCTGGCGTGCTGAAGGAGTCCAGCTCCCTCTTGCCTCCGGGGTACCAGCCATGAGACCAGTGCTGGGCGCTGGACAGCTGAGCCCCGACGCAGAGAAGCACCCCGAGCAGCAACACCAGCCGAGACACACTCATGATGTTCCCCCTGAAGCAAAAGACTCCATTAGCTCTGACCACAAGAGAGTATTATATTTGAGCCTTTGGTATCTGGTTTAGAAAATCTAATCAAATTGCAAAGTGTTTAAATACTTTATCAGGTTCCATCATTTAAATGTGGAATAGCTATTCTGTAGCAAACACTTTAAGATGTAAATGCAATTTTGGTTTTGTTGCAATACAAATGTACCAAACGAGATCATGCTGTGTAGAAAGTAAAGCTGTCTGTCACCAGAAATTGTATATATTTAGCCGTAATATCAATACAAGTTGAGTATTTGTTGATTAACAATTTGAATCTTTCTTTGCAATAATTTTACTGCAAGTTTCCTTTTACATTTCATGTTTACATTTGAGCTTATTTAACTGTAGTCAAATGTCAATTACTTGCTTACCCTCAATAAACCAAATACGGTTAAACATTTGTAACATTTTAAGAATCATTTTAGGGACTAATGTATTGCCCTTAAAAATAAATGTTGCCATTACATCCTTTTTTAGTAATTATGCAATAGATGAAATATATACAGAGCTTTCAGGCCTATTGTTAAACTTCTGAAAATCACTAAGCTTAACATCCAATTAAGAGGCACCGAGAGGAGTTTAAGCTCAGTCTCTAACAAGATTCATTGTTATATTCCAAAAACAACAATGTATAATTTAGAATAAACAGAAAGCAGTAAAAGTATATAAAAGTACAAAAGAAAGTGTCCTTACTTTAGTCTCACAACTTTATCACTACAGGCGTCCCTTGACGTCCTGACAGAAGCTCCCTCAGCTTTCCTTCAGTTGTTCGGCTGTTGAAGATATCTCACAGTTTCACAAGTGCACGACTGTAAAGACTCTCTTCACCCTCATACTCCTCCTGAATATATATGTACCCCTCCAAATGCACATTACCATTATCAGCCCGTAATGGCCCCGCCCCTCTCTGACCTGTGGCCCCTCTGTTCCCCGGCGGTGAAAGGAACGGCCCCTGGGGACAAGAGGTCCAGGAGACATGGCCAATTGTAATTATCCCCTGCAAACATGCTCTGACACCCCTGAGATGTACGTCTGCTCACTTGCACCACATGTATCCACGTCCAAATACTGACACCCTGGCTGAATAACAAAACAAATAATTCAACGTGCAGATTAAAGTCAAACAGTATTATCTAAGTAAACTATTTCAAGTATAACAAAGCACATTCTTAAGAGAAATTCTAAAAACTGAAAAATGTCTCAATGGTTAATTCACTGCTTACATTCTACAAGTGGAAGAACATGGCCACTTCGACACAACTCGTGAAATTGTGTACATGAAAATTTGTTTTAGGAAATACTAGGGCTCAAAAGTTTCTGAAATTTGGGCCCTGCCAAGAATGATCTTTATCTAATAGCTAGTACAATTTTATTTATATTGCACATTTCAGTCTACGTAGTTGGAAGGAAACAAACACTGAATAGTGTTAACAAAAAACACAAGACATGATAAAAGAAACATGTTATACATGGGGATTCAAACCATTGAGATGAATGAATCCACATTTAAAGGTTTAAGGTCAACAACCAAGCAAAATGAATTCATAAGATTAGTGAACGGAAACAAAAAATCATAGTATAAAAAAAAAAAAGCGTATACATAATGAATAACCATCAACCAGATTATTTTTAAGGAAAACTGAAAAAAGGATTTTTTCCGATTGATTTTAAAAGGATGATTGCATTTGAGTTGCTCAAAGTATTCAACCGTATTGCTCAGATCCCAATTACAGGAGTCTTTGTCAGAATGAAAAACTCTGGAGTTTCAATTTCCTCTCTCAAGGTCGATGTCGTTTTGACCGCATCGACCCACCACACATCCTCACTTTGACCTGAATGACCCTCTCAGTCGCTGGCATCTGATGACAGGGGAACAAACAGTGGATCCCTGATGAGATCCATCTCAATTAGAGGAGGCATTTCCTTTTCAGAGTTTTACATGCAGGAGCAGCTATGACTCAGGAAGTGAGTGACAGCGTGACGAGCTGCTGCTGTTGACTCAGGTCAGCTGCCCGCCTGAGTGATGAGACACGAGGCTGGTGCTGTCAGGGATTGTTTGAAGAGAGAAAACTCCAACATGCGTCACTGATGAGACCACCTGTCAATGTGAGGCTAGAGGAGTAACCTTAAGAAGTCTCCGAATTAACATTTACAAATTAAACATACAGGGATAGATAGCTTTATTGTTATCTGCAAATGTAATTTTGTTGTCAGGTTCTATTTATGTCTAAGGTCTGAACATCCTGTCAGCTTTTATTCCGTTCTGAGTTTTCACAGCTTTCATTCAACTCATATTTCATCAAGCTTGAATACTTTATAATAGTCTAAATATATTACTGAATTACCACTCTCTTGATTTGTTCCACACGAACCTAACTGGGCTTGACAGTAAGAGCTTTGTCAATTACCATTACAAATAGTGAAATACTGCTTAAAAGAAATCAGTTGCTGGCCTCATCAAGAATTCTGGGACCCCCACGGACACAGACTCTTATATCCTCCAATGGACATTTTACATATATACACATCATATATATAAGTAACATCTTTGTGATCATATTTAACAATCACAATTCACAATCACAACATATATGTTTGCAAATAATTCTTATTGCATTACCCTTTGATTGTATCGTTTATTTCTCCTTTTTCAGATATTATATTTGCTCTTATTCTTCCATTTGTATTCTCTCTTACTCCGTCTATGTATGCACCATTATACCCCAAAGCAAATTCCTTTGAGCTTCAAAAGGGATACTAAATAAGATTAAGGAACTTACAAGAGACATAATAAAAAAAGTAATGCTTAATATCAAAGCAGCAAATGCAGAGATTTCCAGACTTTGAATAAAAAAAAAATGTTTTGCACATAAATGATTAAATCCTACATTTCTATAAACTATAGGAAACTGTAGAAAGGAGCTCAGAAGACATTATTCAACTGGCTGATTAGTCTTTGTGAGGAGTAGACTGTAAAATCAGGGCAGTGCCCATTTTAAACCATCATGTTGTTTAGGATTATACCTTTCCATTTCTATTTACAATTAAGCTATTCAGTGTCGCAGTGCTGGTGGATTAAAGCCTACAAACTAATACCACATCTATTCAATAGTGATACTACCTTAATATAATAATGAGCTTTTCCTAAATGTTTAACAGGTATTACTTTCCGCTCGATCATTTCACCAGTAACCCTAAATGATTCATCAGAGCAAAACACTCGTTAATATTTGATGGGGTGAAGGGTTAAACACTGATTGATACCTTTCAAGAGCAACACCCAGGAGGACCGCCTGATCTATAAAATACATGAACGATCGGCAATTATTTTGCACATCTACAATTAGTCTTCATCGAGGAGTGAGCTGTAATGATCCTCAGGTTGTCGTGATGGAACATGAGTGTCTGACGTGTTACTAACATTTAGCTTTTAAAGACATAAGAAATACACACACTTGATAAAATCTCAAGCACTTTATTAGGTTTGAACAGTATCTTGCTTAGAAAGGCCATTTGGCATTATATAATTATATATAATTTTGTCATATATATAATTATATATACATATATTCAAATGTTGAATAACAAAACACTAGAAACAAACATTGGCAAATTAAAAAATAGGATTTTCTTAAGACAATTATACCAAATTAAAAATGGCCAAAACGAAACATCTCTAATACATTTTCAAAATGGTCCCGATACAGTTCAATATACATCTTTTTATTCTTCAGAAAGAAAAAAAGAAGAGGGGGGGGTGGAAGAAAATATAATAAGCAAGGCAGCAGGCTGGAATGAAATATAAATAACCTTACATTATGTACAAAAGGGAGTGGGGCTGTGACCACTGGGGGCACATGGTCCAAGGACAAAGTGAAGGAAGGAAAGGGAGCGATAAGTGGACAGCAGTGAGTGGACAAGGACAGGAGACATAAAGGACATAAGAAGGTGGAAAGAAGAAGAGAAAAAGTTGGACTCTAATCTTCCTCAAGTCAGACTATTTAGAAATGGAAACCTATATAAATTTCTCAGGGGCATTCAAAACAATCCACTGGGGAAAATCTCAGAGATAAAAGGGACGTGGAACAGGGACAACTGTCTGGTTTCCCTCGGAGAAGATGCATAAAAGATTCAATTTAACTGTGGTGGGGGAAAACTGGGAAACTTGGGTACCCACAATTGATTACTTATCATGGATACCACATGTCATTGATATGGAATGATATGAGGCCATTCAAATAAAATGTTTATTTTAAAAAGAGGCCTCAACATTTGTTTCAACTGCACAATTGAGGAGTCTACGTATTTGTGACACCAGGGAGTGTGAAGGATGACCAACCATGTCTTATTTCTGGCCCTATTGATTTGTCATATAGCGTTTTGTCATCAGAGTAAGGAAAATGCTCAGGACAGCTTTTAGGATGACAGCGGTTGCATCACAAATTATATGTAACGGTTAGTTTTAAACTACAAGTGAGGCACTTTTTTTCATATTCACTAGATCTGCAAAATAGCCGGTCTCATGGGATGGCACAGTGTCATATTTTGCTGTCAAATTCAAAGTCGCATTGATCCAAACACACACAACAGATAGATTAGCTAAACAAAAAGCATCCCCTTCTCTATTTAATGAAAGGCCCAATATGTGACAAAGTAGATAAATGAGGAGCATAACGGCACCTAACTAGTAGTGCGGGCACTTGTGATGCTTTGGGGGGAAAAAGACCTGAAAGGAAAATGACGATGCACAAACAGCCAACATTTCAAAAATATCTACTTTTATGTCCCTGCAGGGGCCTTACAGCTTTGAGACCTGAAAAAAGGTTCTTATATTTCAATATCAAGGCCAAATCATCATCCTAACCTTTTCTTTCATTTGGTTCTGTAATTTGAAGGGCTTTGCTTTTGGTGCAAATAGTGCATGAGTGTTCAAACAATCAACATTGATGCAAATCACCCTTCCTAAAAAAGATTCAGCATGTACTTTTAATGACGTTGTCCACCATCAATAAATGAGTACTGATTGTGCTCCTTCCGTTAAGAAAAGTCATTCAATCCGGGTCTGTTAGAGTGATTTAGACCGTTAGTGCGGGTTGCAAATTGTGAACGATTTAGTTAAAATCTACATTTAACAACAAGATATTTTTTAATATCATAGCAATAAAATCTGTTCAAATCAAAGCAAGGCATGATATTGGAGTACTCTCCTTTGCTGGGGTTTTAAATCTTTGAACGTGAGTCAGCGCTGCAGGTGAGCTTGAGCTGAATTTGCTCGATTTATAAATGTAAACAATCCAGCCGTCGCTCATTTCCAGCCGGGAGTTGACATTACGTGACCCGAAGCTCAGCGGTTAACTGACAATATCCATCACAACTGAGTGCATAGCCTCAATTGTGGCCTCATCTGAAAAGAAACCCACACTGTAATCCAAGTGTCCTCACAGGACAGCCATTCAAAATAAAATCTGAGCAAACATGGCATGGCACCACCACTATTTAAGTAACAAAGTATCCATTTTTAAGGAAAACGTTAGCAACAGCATTCAAATTATAAGAGACATTCTTCGGCATCAGTGTTCATGGTGAGAAAACAAAAACAAGGGAATTCAAAGTGTGACAGTACAGCGTAGTGATGTGAGGCTGATATAAAAGAAATAGTTCATTCAGGCAGACTCAAAATAAAACCTATATAGAAAAAAAACCTCAATACAATCTACAAGAAATACTGACGTGCGTCTGTAAACTAGAAAAGAAATATGTCGGGTATATGATCTGTTGATGATGCAATATGGAGTGATTTGGCTTGTCAGCATGATCAACAACGCTGCAGATACTGAAACAGACCTTACCTTTAAAACAAGAAGCCCCACTTCCTGTTAAAGCAGAGTGTTGGCAGCAGATCATTAAACAGTAAACTGGCTTTAGTCTCGTGAATGTCTAGATATTGTTAGAGCTACTGGACTCTGCGAGGGAGAGAAGGACTTTGGCACTCTGCAGATAGAAGACAGTGTCTTCAGCTGCAGCTCAAACAAACACACACACACACACACACATTCAAAAGAAAGAATGGCTCCTGGTATTCTGTGTGTGTTTCGTGTGTCAACCTGAGTCAATGAGCTACCTCACTCCAATCGTGAGTGACCTTTGAACCCCTGAAACTTTAAAGGGGAGGAATTTAAGTGGCTCGATAGATGGAAACATATCTGTGTGAAGGATAATGGCTGTGTGTGTGTGTGTGTGTGTGTGTGTGTGTGTGTGTGTGTGTGTGTGTAATTCTATGTTTTTGAGGACCCAATTTAGCCTAAAACTTTGATTGATTTGTTCCTCTATTTATAGCCTGCTATTCCCAAAAGTGAAGCATGAACGCCACCTTTCTTTATATTTCTTTGTTAAGTAGCTTGACACATTTACCAATGTCTAACACTCCTTGAGTTGAACTGAGCTTTCAGTAACTGAGAAAAAATCAACATGTATTGACACAAAAAAAGGTTTCAAAGTAAATTTACAAAAACATTTCACACAACACAAAAATATGCAATGTGGTAAATTAGAAAAAATACAAAAAGAACTGTAACCTAAACCTTACTCAAGTTCAATTTAGACAAAAAATACAAATATTGCTTGTTTTAGTATTAAAATAAGTGCTTATTTGTCTTTCAATTTGACACTTTTTACATTTGTTTGCGTGATTGTTCAACACAGCACACAATAATGCTTGACGCAACTTCGATATCAGCAGTATATCTGGGTTCTTTTCTAGAAGAATGAAACAGATAGTTTGCACATTGTTGCAGAATCTCAGATGAGATAACAATCTTGATTCTTACATGAGCGTATTGTGCCTCCGCCCTTTTGACAGTAAATGTCAGGTGTCAGTAGATTGATGCTGCTCCACCCTCTCTGTTCTGCTGCCATGACGATCAGTCTGGCAACACTGCTGCTCTCAGGTCTGTGAGACGAGACAAGCTAAAACACATCTCAGGATTCAAGGTGTGCTAACACTCACACACACACACAGACCCGCACACCTTATTCTGACACATTTCCAGGAAATCTCTTCATTTCTCAGCAACGTTTGAGCTCATCGCCAAGACGTGCTCCTGGATGAAAGGCTTAATGAGAGGAGAAAGATGGTTTCTGTTACACGTCTCCCTCATGTTGCCCTGCCCAACATGGATTCCACTTCTAATAGCCACTTGGCTTACTGGAAGAAGACGTAACCCTGCTTTCATTTTGCCGGGGGTTTCCTCCGCTTTAAAGGAAGGATTATGTAGTAAAGTCAGTGCCAAGAAGACAGGGTTGGGCTTTGTGAAGGAAAAGAGGATATAGCTACCTCCTACCTGCAGTATTTAACAGAGGAGATAAGGAGAGTCTCTTTCTCTTACTGAGTTGAATCAAGCAGCTTCACACCAAGAACTCCTGGAACAGTTACAACTCTTCTGCTGTCTGTAAGAAGTGAGAACATAATCCCAACAATGTAGTAACCTTCATGTTTCTGTGGTAGAGGTAAAGCAGTTGTAATGCTCTTTCAGCAAGCCCTTCAGGAAGTGAATAGGGCGTCAAAGCAAGTATTTGTGGTGGCCTAACAGTGGTGCCAGTCATGTGATGCCGTTGGGCCCAAAAATACATTTTCCCATTGACTTATATTGAGTAATAGATGTCTGTTAATTGGTGTGTAAATGTTTTTTAAGGTAAAGTGTGATAACTTGCATAGGTCGTAACATTCTCTAATAGCTAAATCCAGAGTTATTTCCTCTCTCCTTTATGTCATAGACACATCACCCACATCTATAGAGACATTTGCCTCAAAAGGAGATGGAGGCTGAAATCTGAAATGCCACGTATATTAAGCTCTATAGGACGAAAAGCAAAGGCATACATCACGTTCAGATAAAAAAAAAAACTCAGGAAGCCTTCTTGTGCCACTTGTTTCTTTAAGCTCTGTTTTATTTGGAACCGCTGACAAACTAAACGTTTAAACTCCTCCCTTTATGGCTAACTTTCCTGCTATGTTTATCTTCCAACTTCCTCAGAAATCTGTTTTATAAATACAGTTTTTTATTACTGGAAGCTTCCCAGGCAGGTGTCCCAGCATGCCCTGCTGAAGAGATTTGGACCTTCCAGCCGGTGAAGTTGGGAAACACACAAGAATAAAGCTTCCAAGTACTTTAACACATTTACAAGGAAAAGTAAAATGTTGTTTTGTGATGTGATGCATCTAAATAGTTTAATTAAACATATATATAAACCCTCTACTAATAAAGTATCTAGGAGAAACCCAAAAGCTAAAGATATTGGTCAACAAAATACCTTACAAAAAACCTCAATGGAGAAACTGGAACTGGTTAGTTATGCCCCTTTCACACCAACGCGGTTCCAGGGCCGGTTCGGAGCTAGAGCCTGATAAGCACCGTTTTTCCTGTTCACACCGCGGCGGAGCCGGCTCTTTTCCCCGAAAACCGGTTCTTACCAAGCTCCAAAAGATGTCGGTCTAGAAGCAAGAACCGCTTACGTCGGAGGCGGGGGCAGGCGCGGGATCAACCTGATCAACAGTTTATGGCGAGTACGGCAAATCACAGTTGTAACAAGCAGTGGCGCTGACCAAAGTGACTAGAACGCAACCACACACCTTATAAAGTCAGGCAACACTAACCAGGCTTCGTGTGATTCTGTTTATTTGTACCTTACTTTGACCATCCGTTCACTGTTGAGTGATCATTGTGGAGGGCAGGCAGACGTTTTGTTTTGTACTATAGCAGCTATCGGATGGAATCAATACATGGGCTGCACAGGTTGTCATGTCCGACTATCACAAGTAGAATCATAATGAAAAATACGACGGTAAAATGTGGAAAACGGCTTATGCCACAATAGGATAGCGAAAGTAGTCAAGATAGTCAGTTTAGCTTCGGTTGCTATGCTAACATCACTTATTTTATACCAAAGAAACTTTCATAACAGCGTTGTGATGCCAAACAGCGGGCAGCACGGCAGCCGTCGGTAAATGCCGCTGAAACACATTAATAAACAATGAACCACGGAACTCTGGAGAAAAATGCAAGGGTTGAGAAGTAGTTATTTAATTTAATCTGTCTTCGTATGATTAAAAGCAACACGATCATCGACCCGACGCAGTCCCCCATTGTTGCGCCGTTGGGGAGAAAATCAGCGACGTAAACGGTGACGTCATGACGCAGCACCAGTCGGGCTCTGGGCGGTGTGAACAGAACGGGGGCTGAAAAGAAAAACCGGTTCCGAACCAGAAGAGTGCAAGCACGGAGCTAGAAGGGGAACCGTGTTGGTGTGAAAGGGGCAACAGAGTACTTAGTCTTAATTCATTGTGCCAAAATGGCTGCAAATGATTGACTTATCAGTTGATCTACTAATAATTTTAGCTCCTTCCGTCAATGTATATATTGACTTTAAATTGACCGTGAGCAGCTCAGACTAAATACTATGAAGCTTAATTGTGTGTTGACAAGACCATTTGGACAATAGGAACTGAGCATCTGATGTAGGAACAATTGGAAAATGTTCTTTATTTCTATATATCTTTGTTGCTAACAGTGATATCATCCTTCAGAAGTTTGACAAAGTAATACAAACCTGAAATCCTGCCACGCTTCCTTTAAAAGCAACATACGTTCTTTATTAGCGGCAGCGGTGCATGATGGACTGAAAGCTTTCCCACACACACACACACACACACACACACACACACACACACACACACACACACACACACACACACACACACCTGGCCTCTCTCCTCCAGCTCAGTGAGCATGACTATGGAGCAGCTCCTCCACTCCCAGATCATCCTCCAGAAGTCCTCCGTGGTGTGCTGCAGGGGGCCCTGGCTCGCTATGTAAGAGTCCTTCTGACGGTAGCCCTGTGACCACATGCGGGAACAGACAGGAAGTGATGTCCAGGGGGGAAGGAAGGAGGGAGGGAAGAAGGAAGGCAGACTTTAAACACCTGATCGATTGCTTGCATTAGTGAAATGATCAGGAGCTTTTACACTCACGTCTACGAAAGAGGCGTTCACGTAGTCGGTGTTCTCCTCTCCACGCTTCACTGGGATTATCACTCTGTTGAATTCATCTGTTGGAAGGAGGAACATTAACACGGGGGCTATACAACTGTCTTTTCATCATGGCTTTCATCACTGCGTGGAGCCACATTAATAAACACATAGACCACTCACATGGAATGATCTGCAGGACTCTGTTCTTCTTCATGTTGGCCGGCAGGTTGCCTGTTCTCATTTTATCATTCTGGATCTTGATTGATGTCAGCTTCTAGAAAGAAGAGATAACTTGAAGTCCCCCTCCAGATATGTTTTAAAGTACCAAAATGTCTTTGTCGTGATTAATTTATATGTTGAAACATGGTTTTCCAACAAAAAAAGTAAAAAACAAACTCTGAAAAGGGTCAGGAAGCACATCTAATATGTTTTCAAAATTGCCAACTAGAAGACATATCAGCAAGGTAAGAGTAGTGAGCGTCTGTAATTCGTTTTAAGTATTTTTCAGCTTGTTGGCTTGTCACTGCCACTGACTGACATTGCTCCAGGGTCTGGTTTACATCCAAACACAGTTAACTCTACACTGTTTGCTGCAAAAATGTCCATTTCTCTAATGCTTACCCTCCCTCTCTGTACCAACAAGCCTGGGCTGCGCTCAAGTTCTCAGCTTTTGCAGTTATTTGAACATTAGACTGTAACGGAGGTGATCTCTGGGGCCATAGATCTCGGCCTCCGTTACGGATTGTATAGCTTTGTTGGTGTTTTAGTTTGTCTGTCTCTGTTTCCTGTTTTATTTTGAAAAGTGTTCCCCCTCCCGTCTTGTCTGTTGCTGCTGATTGTGGTCACCTGGTGCCCTGTGTTGTCTCCTCCCCCCTCACCTGCGTCTTGTTGGTTTGATTAGTCCTGTGTGTATTTAGGTTCTGTTTGCTTGTTAGGGTGTGTGAGATCCTTGTGGCTGCTGACTGTGTTCAGGTGGACAGCAATATTGAGGCTGTGAATCATGTGTCAATGATGAATAAATGCCCACACCGGGTTGTATTTGGACGTTCTGCCTCTGCCTCCTTGCTTGGTCGGGCCGCTCAATTGTCAGCGTCACAGACTGCAATAAGCTTTCAAGTTTGTGTGTGACATGGATATCAGATTTTAGGGCAGTGTACTGACATCTCCACCCACAGTAGAATAATGTGAAAACACCTTTCTTGTGACAAATTGTACACAGATACAAGCCATGTTGTTAGTGGACATAAACATTAGAAAAATACAGTTTTGAATCAAAAGGATCTGTAATGCCTGGGACAGTAGCAGTTAAGATATTTCGTTTTTGTTCGAGTGCTATGAAAACATCACACGCACCTTGAATTCAGCCTCCAGCCCGCTGCAGCCAGCTCCAGGAGCGGGGGCGTAGAGTTTGGCCAGGTGGGACTCCAGAGAAGTCACCTCCAGCTCCGTGTCTCCGTACAGGTAGTGCTCTAACAATGCCTGGAAGATGAACACGTACTGCATCTGTGGGGCGGAGGACAAAGACGTGAGGAACAAGAGGAAATCATGGCTCTGAAAAAAACTGGGAGAGACCATGTGACTCACATCAGTCTGCACCATCTGGCAGCGCTGGGCTCTGATCCTGGTGACGAAGCCGAACACATCCACCTTCCTCTCGGTGTTCATCATGTCCAACATTGCATCGATCACAATGAAGGTTCCTGTCCGCCCCACGCCCGCACTGACACACAGAAATATGAAGCAATTAAACAAAAACACACGCAACCAAACCAGGAGAAGTGAGAGTGTAAGCTGAGCTGCACTCACCTACAGTGGACCACAATGGCCCCGGCATACGTAGGGTTATAATTCTTGACTTTCTTGAGGAACTTGAGCATGCCGATGGGCGTGAAGGGCACCCCGAAGTCTGGCCAGCTGGTGAAGTGGAACTGGGTGACGAGCCTCTGAGGCTTCTTACCAGACACGTCCCCCACCTGAGAGACAAAGAAAACCAGGTTATAGACGGAGCCACGGCACAGTGAGTGTCATCTAAACTTAAATGTATTTTTAGTCTGCAGTGTGTGATCAAAAGATGTTTGTAGACACAAGCAACACCAGTGTTTCCTGTGTGTGTGTGTGTGTGTGTGTGTGTGTGTGTGTGTGTGTGTGTGTGTGTGTGTGCAGGGTAAACACAGAATTAAACATAATATATCCTGGTACCCACACCAACAAAGTATTACCTGCTGGATGCAGAACTTGCGGATGGTGTAGTCCACCAGAACCATCTGGTCCTCGACAGACACCCGGATGTTCCCGTATG